ATTCAATTAAATTAGAGTCTTGGAATTCGAAATCCTTATCCATTTAGCCTTGCAAACGTCCATTCGCGTTCCCTATTTGTCGAACAGTATTTTCATTCGTCGACAGTATTCGCCGCATTCACCTGCCTATCATTTTATATTATATATGTTTACTTCGCCCAAGTATTCCCGTACTCATTCGACATCGGGTCCGGAAACCGGTAATATTTCATAACGTGAAAACACTCGTTGAGATTTCCTCGTATTTATAAAGCGAGAGACACGACTCGACGCCAGAATCCACAACTTAAAAGTAGCGCATCGATTTCCAGCCATTTGTTCGATAAATCGTTGCTCTCGCTGCTTCTGCAGGCTTTACAGGATAGAACGATCGAGGAGTTACGCTGATGTACTTTTAAAATAGCACCGAGGTCAAAACGAGACTTCGGCGATCTTCCGTTCCACGGACGGTCATCGAAAAATCATAGATCACTCCCGAGAAATTATTGCTCGCCTTGGTCGAGTTATTGAGTCTAGAGATATACAAAGTCCTAAGATTTTTCACGTTCCAAACGTTTAAAGTAAAAAGTTAATATGAGGAGATAGATAACAACAATTATTTGTGTTCAAAATAAAAAAAAAACGTCGTAAAGTATTGTCTTATACCCTTTCTAGGTTAACTTTAATTTCAGTTCAACTTACTCTTCATTTTTTTCTAATTCTTGTAATTAGAAAAAGAAGAAAAGTTAGTTGAACCGAGATTAAAATCATTTACTTTGGTAGAAATGGATATTAAATATATTTTTGCTTTCTCTGTCTCTGCAATTTATAAGTTTTTTTTTGTCTAGCCTAAGTTCTTTTACTATTCTAGACTTTCAAAAATTGTGGAAAAATTCAGGATTACTTTTCAACATCTCTATTATATTACTAAATAATTTTCTCAATTATTTAAGAAAAAGGAACTGGATTCCGTCTTTCTTAATTTCGGAGAAATAATTGAGAATATTTTACTTATGTCAAAAAAGATTCAAATTGCAGGATTAAAAAGAAAGAAACCTATACATGTACGATGTATTTTTCTGCAAATTTTAATAATTTCTCGTTTACGCGGCTCTTCCATGATAAAAAAAATTTCATATATATTTTATATAGTCCATTATTTTCAAATTCGATAGCGTGAAGCCGTGAAACATACAAACGCAGTTGGCAGAACACACACTAATTCAAAATTAGCTGCACGGATTGAATTTCTTCGGTCATGTAGCAACAGAGTGTTCGGAAAGCGAGTGTCTTCATCAAGAGGCCGCGGAGGAAACAGATCGTCGCTTTCACGAAAGCAGATCGCCGGTGAAATTTATGCCGTCACGTGTCGTCCTCGACAAAGTGGACTGCGATTTAGCCGCTCCGCTTTAACGAAGCACCGTTTCTCGTTTAAATGTAGAATCGTAGTAGCAGCTTTGTGTCCGCTAATCGCGTTACAAGCGGAAAACAATCATCGAGTTTACGATGCGATCGTATCCGTACAATAAGACCGGCAGAATCTCTTCCAACTTTGCTCTTTTGCTGCCCAATCTCTTTCACTTAAAAACAACTTCGCGGTTAATTTTTCGTGATTATCGTTCGTAATGTTTTCCCTTTTATTCACTTTGGACAATCCTGGTTCGTTTAACGCAACAGCATTCACATAATTCATACTTAACGAGTCCTTTCGTTAATTCGGCGAAACACTTCACTTCTGTTGAAGCGACATTCGAGTTCAAGCCAAGAATTTTGCAATTCTCATTGGTATGCGGACAGTTGTCGGTCACATCTGCATTTTGACGCTTTGAATCTACTTTTCAATAGTCATCATAATCGATATATGTACGGAAAGGACAGTTTGCTAAAGTATCTAAAAATTTAACTGCACACAATGAACGATTTTACTGAAGTATCTAAAAATTTAGCCACATATACAGATCTGAAAATATTTTGTTAGACTATCACAATTATGTAGAAAATTCAAGAATGACAAAGAACGTTGCAAGAACTTTCCACATTCTATCAATCAACTTGAACATCCTATATAATTATTTAGATAGTCCAACAAAATTATAAGATCTGTATCTACCTAAATTTTTAGATACTTCAGCAAAATCGTTATTTCCGTGTACACGGAGAGAATTTTTTCTTAGAATTTACCCTGAAAATATGACAGTCGTGGGACAACATTGTATTTTGAAGAATTTTAACACAAATCCCTCTCATTCATTAATAAAACTACAATAAAGTTTAAAATAAGTTTGATCAATTTTACTGAAGTGCATGGTAAAAATCTTCGAAATACAATGTTGTCCCACGACTGTCATATTTTCAGGGTAAATTTTAAAAGAAAATTCTCTCCGTGTAGCTATAAATCTGAAAATAATTATGTAGGACGCTCAAATTGATTACCAGAATGTCAAAACTTTTTGCAGAATCGTCTATCATACTTAAGATTTCTACATAATTATTTTGACAATCCAAAATTATTTTTAGATCTGTATCTAATTTTTCTTAATACTTTAAGAAAATCATTTTTTTCCTATGTCTTCTCTTTACTATCAATGTATCTAATATCCATTTCTACCAATGTATTTTAATCTCTGTTTAATTTACTGTTTATTTTTTTCTAATTCTTATATAGAACTATAAAAACAATAATAATTACAAAAAGGACTCTCAAATTTTAAACAACATACAAATAAATAAAAGTAAACTAATAAGAATCAGCGCAGATAAACTATTCTTAGAACTAAAAAGTAAATTGAACAGAGATTAAAGTTAATTTACATTTGTAGAAATAAACACAAGTCACTTTTAGTATACCTAAAAAAAGTTTATTTTACGCAAAGGATTCTTAATTAGATAATTACAGACTTTTGTGTTCAGTAACACGTCTTTGTAATAACATGAAAAAGATTAATGCCGTTCTCACGAGCTTCTACGGATCTTTAAAAAATCTCGTAATCTCTCTCGGCAAATTATTTCTTTTTCTAATCGAGACAGGAATTCTTTGCAGCGCTAATATGACAGAAAAGTTACGAGATCGCGTGACACATCTGAAACAGGAAGATGTAAATCGCGAATGCGTTCGTTCATTAGAAGCTCCCTATCGCGAACGACGGTCGTCTGCCGCTCATTTACCGCGGGCTTACGTTGCCGGCCGTCGTTTCTGCGCTCGAAGCGAGTTCGTTGCCAGTTCTAAAATCGTCGTCCTGACAATGACGTAGAATCGCGGCCGTTTGTCTCACGTGGGACGATAATCGCGACGGTGGATCCTCTCTTTCGTCGCTTTGACAAACGGAAAATACATTACACCGCGGGATCGAAAATCGACCGCGGCGAAATGATTTTGTGAATTTCACGTGATCTGCGTCCGAGCAAAATAACGAGATATATGTATATCGATGAAACATAACACGGAGGCTGCTGGAACAATAAATAAACAGTAGTTGGCCCACTGTTTAGGCAAATCGTATTACGTACACAGTGATGCTTACGCATTTGCCCCGCGAATTTTGCGTTGCAGCGCGGGAATTGCAGTCGCATTGCACTCGCGGCTCTCTCTCTCTCTCTCTC